TTTTATTCAGCTTGTGAGTATAAAGAACATTTAGTATATTCTATATATATAAACAGCAAAACAAGGTCACAAAACATAAATATAAATGCTTATTTACCATTACGTATAAATCATTTCATTTAGCAAGTGAGTATAAAGAATGTTTAATAATTTCTAGAAAAGGTCATATAAAGTTAATTTTTTTGGTTTTTATAATATAATTATTATAAAACGCGCCCATGGTGTTTTACACCTATTATACGTTTTTTATTATATTTTAATAATTTTCTAAGTTCGTATATAAATTTTGAAAACAAAATTTTTTGGGATTAGTAAGTAATAGTTATATCCTGAGCAGTTGGGTATGCACTGCGATCTTGATATAGTGACCAGTGTATAATTAGAGTTACAGATAGGGTTTTGGAAGAATTTTTAGGGAGTATACATTTTTACTTAGAATATCTCAACCTGAAATTTTGCCAGTTTTGTGATAATGTATACTTAAGTGTAAAACACTATAAGTGCGTTTTAGAAAAGTCTAAAAATTTTTCATAGAGATCTAAAAGAATCAAAAATTTTTCTCAAAATTTTGCGGAATTTGATCCAGCAGGGTTATTAGAACCAATTTATGACCTTTGCTTACCCTATAAACAAAACATAAATACTTATTTACCATTACGTACAAATCATTTCATTTGCATTAATCATATGATTCAGCTCGTGAGTATAAAATATAATTTAATAAATTCCAGCAAAACAGGTTCACAAATCAAAAGATAGATATTTATTTACTGTTATTACATACAAATCATTTCATATCCACTTAGAGTGTGAGTATAGAGAGCATTTAACAAATTTTAAAATAAAACAAACCAAGTTCTCAAAACAAGAGCACAAATACATATTTACTTTTTTTATGTATAAATCATTTCATTCGCATTTATTACCCATTCAGCACGTGAGTATAAAGAGCATTTAATAAATTCTATAAATAAAACCGGTAAAACAAGTTCACTGAAAAAATAATTAATCATTTCATTCAGCACGTGAGTAAATAAATTTTAGAAATAAAAACAGCAAAGCAAGCTCACAAATAAAGAGCGTAAATACTTAACTTACCATTACGTACCGATCATTTCATTCTTATTGATTTAGTCGGTAAGTATAAAATTTACTTTTTTTGATACAAAGTTTAAAAAAGTATGGTAGATGTGAATAAATCATATCTGTATAGTAAACCTGAATACGGAAAATGCGCACATTGTAATGAAGACAATACTTATAAAGCATGGTGTATATCATGCGACCCTGACACAGAAACAAGGTGGACAAGTAGAAATAAGGATATTGATGATTGCATGAAAGCATTCCAACTTAGAACTTTTGCATATCAAAATGCGATCGAATGGATTCCGTTCGATAGGTTATCAGATGTTAAAGAAATTGGTAAAGGAGGTTTTGGTTCTGTATATTCAGCAGTCTGGCTGGATGGCATTTGAAAAATTGTTGGCAATGATTATAATTATGGTAGAGTACGTGAAACATCCAGCATCGTTGCACTCAAAATCTTGTCTGGTTCCTTAAAAGAAGTGAGTTGAATAATTACTACGTAATTCAACATTTGCTAAATATATAATGAACTAATTTGTTTATTAATTATAAAGTTTAACAATAATTTGAAATGTAGTTTGTATGGTAGCATAGGATATATGGATTAACTCAAGACAGTGAAAATAAATATATGATGGTATTTCAATATGCCAATAATGGAAATCTTTACAAGTTTTTAAGAAGCAAGTTTCAAGATCTTACTTGGAAGATTAAATTAAAACTACTTCTAAATATTTCAAGTGACTTATATGATATTCATAGAGCAGGATATATTCATGCAGACTTTCACAGTGATAATATTTTGCAAGACCAACGAATTAGCACAACTTTGCAATCTTATATCTCAGATCTAGGATTGTCTAAGATAGATAATGAAAATAATTCAGAAGGTTGTATTTATGGAGTTATGCCTTATGTTGCTCCTGAAGTCTTATCGGGTCAAAAGCTTACAAAAGCTGCAGATATTTATGGTTTGGGAGTTATTATGTCAGAGATGTCAACTGGACATAGGCCTTTTGATGGTTATGAATTCGATACCGAACTTGCAGTAAAGATTTGCAAAGGATTAAGGCCAGAATTCGCTCTTGGGACTCCGAATTGTTATATTAAATTAGCTAAACAATGTATGGATTTGGATCCACAGAAGCGACCTTCTGCATATGATATTTATTGTAAAATTAGCAAATGGAATGAAATTATGTCTGATGAAGATTCGAATGAAGAAAATAATGTAAAAAAAGTTACGTTTAATGAAGATTCGAATGAAGAAAATGCAGAAGAAATTACATCTAATGAAGATTTGAATGAAGAAAATGTAGAAGAAATTACATATAATGAAGATTTGAATGAAGAAAATGCAGAAGAAACTATGTCTGATGAAGATTCAAATGAAGAAAATGCAGAAGAAATTATGTCTAATGAAGATTTGAATGAAGAAAATGCAGATGATATTAAAAAGCAATTCATAGATGCAGATAGAATAGTCAAAACATTGCCAATCAATTTACCAAATCATCCGGATATTATGTATACTAGCAAATTA